CACTGAACTTTCGAAAATGCAACTTTATCCATCACTGAACTTTAAAAATCACCCCATTAATCACTGAACTTTGCAAAAGATTTCTACGGGGTCACTGAACTTTGCAAAAAGTTTCCCAGGTGATCACTGGATTCAGTGACCGTCTGGGAAACTTTTGCAAAGTTCAGTGACTAATGAGGTGATTTTTAAAGTTCAGTGATGGATATGATTGCATTTTCGAAAGTTCAGTGACCTGGTGGAAATTTTCGGTAAAGTTCAGTGACTATTGGGGTAATTAACCCTGCAATATTGGATAAAACCACTAAAAAACCTTTTTTCGCAAAATGATCAACTGTCGTGTGCAAAAAATCCAGATTCATTTGGTAGAACAAATCAAGTGCCTCAGTGACATGAAATGAAATTCCAATTTGCCAAAGTTCCAAAAGGTACTAAAGAAAACAAAGAGTTTCTTTTGAAAATTTTAGTGCTATGTGCCTTGGATCAAAATGGAAAAATGTGAAAAAAGGATAGTCTGGATGGAATCCAAGACCACCAAGTGTGCCGATTCCAGTCTTTCTTATCACAATGGATTGATATCTGAGCATGAGATCTTTAGATCTGGATTTGAAAGTTTTGGTTTTTATGAGTTCATTGAGTTCAGGAGGGAAAGTTTCAATGTGAGGAAAGGGATTTGAAGATTTTGAATCCATCATGTAAATGATTGGACGAGATAGAGGAAGAATATGAGAAATTTTTGGTCTGGAGAGAAGGTTTGGCAACAGGTTATGCTTTCCTTTGATATGTTTGACGTCAAAGTCAAAGTTTGAAAACCATTCTACCCACCTAAAAAGTTGAGAATTTGGAATCTGTTTTATCTTAAAAGAGAGCATTTTTGGAAAAGCTGACATATCCATTTCTACCAAGAATTTATGTTCAATGAGATGGAACTGGAATTTTTCAATTCCTCTTTTTATTGCAAGAATTTCTTTGAAGGTAGAATGATATTGCTTCTCAAATTTTGTGAATGAGCTACTTTTATATCCACAAATTCTTCTATTTCCACCTTTTTCTTCAAGTAAAACTGATGCCCAAAAATATTCACTTGCATCTATTTCAAGGATGCGTTTTCCATCTATAGGGATTTACAAAGCGGAAGATCATTGACTTTTTATTTAATGGTATTGGTTGCTTAGGTTTGAGCTAATAACTAAGGAGGTGAATTCTGTTTAAGCATGAGTTGTGGGGATCGAATAATTGATGAAAGATGATCAATAAAATTTGCCATGTAATTAAAACCCCAAGAAACTATTGAACTTTCTTTTTTGTCAAATTTTCATTTAGGAACTTAAGAAGTTTCTGGCCAACATGAGGCAGGAGTGAATACTGACCATCTTTAATATGCACACCTAAGAAATCATCTTCTCTAACACCAATCACCATTTTCTTCTGAGAAAGCATAATACCATAATACTTAAAAAGATTTGTAAATCTAGAGGGTAGATTGATGTGGGATTCTTCATCTTCAAAAAATAACAAGATATTATCAATATAAACCAAAGCCGTGTCCAGTAATGGATCAAAAATTCTTGTCATTGCTTTCTGAAAAAGAGAAGGGGCAGTTTTTAGACCAAATGGCATAACCGTCCACTGGTGATGATGCTTTGGAATGCAGAACGCTATTTTGTGTCTTTTTCAGATTTGATTCCCAACTGCCAAAATCCTGCTTTAAGATCAAATTTTGAAAAAATCCTTGCCCGAGACAGATTTGCAAACATCGTTTTTCTGTCCAGAATAGGAAATTTATTATCTGCAAGGAAAGCATTTAACGGCTTGTAATCAATGACCAATCTGAGTTTTCTTCGAACTTGTTCACTTTTTTTGTTAATATAAAATGCCTAACAGGCCCATTGTGAAGTTGTTGGTTCAATAAGCTTGGCAAGTTCTTTGGTGGCTAATTGAAGATGTTCCAGGTTCATTCCAAGATGACTGGATTTTATAGGATTGCCATCTTCATTTTTCTTGAATGGAAG